TAATTTATATTTATAACTTTTTTCATTTCACATTAAAGCATCTAAGTAAGTTATTCTACAAGATAAAAGGCATTTTTGGACGAAAGGATAATAATCATATCAGAAACAAAAGTGGTTCGTTCCGTATCTGATGTTACATCATAAAAGAAACATTGAAGCAACAAGTGTATTTGGTTTTCTCATTCAAAATAGATACAAGAACAAAGGGTCATCAATCTCAAGTGAGGTGACATAATAATAAACAGCTATTGTTAGAATACAAAGAGGATGGAAATGGATGTAAAATATAAACTCACCTCTCAACACCAACATGGCAGCCAGGAAGACCCCCCACAGTCAACCCACAATGCATTGCAAGAGTGCAAATTGGGCAATTTGCTTTCTAAGCTGTTTCTAACAGATATTTGTGACAAAAAATCTCCTGGATTGTGGATTTTAAACGCCAATACAACTTTTACATTTCTTGAATATTCTTTTTTTTTTACAAGAAGGCTTAAAATATAGGAAAATATAGGATTTACCTCAATTTATAGGAGTTTATAGGACAAGTCTGAAAAAATAGGACTTTATAGGATTTTATAGGAATATATAGGACGCTTGACACCCTGTAATCATTACGGTGGCCAATTTACCATTTCAACTTTGTTGATATATCCAAATTATTTCGTTACTCCCACCGACGCAGCCCCAAACAGTTTCTTTCGAAACTATCAGCCTTTATTCAATGGCATCTTGCGACCGGCTGCAAGTCAGGTCCACCTCTGGAGTTACTTGAACTAAAAGTTTTTAATAATATTTCANTCTGCCTTTAAAAGCACACACAACCCACAATTCCTCTATTCGCTCCGACGAAGGGCTAACGCTCGAAACGTCAGCTTTTGTAATCATTACGGTGGCCAATTTACCATTTCAACTTTGTTGATATATCCAAATTATTTCGTTACTCCCACCGACGCAGCCCCAAACAGTTTCTTTCGAAACTATCAGCCTTTATTCAATGGCATCTTGCGACCGGCTGCAAGTCAGGTCCATCTATGAAGTTAACTTGAACTAAAAGTTTGTAATAATATTTCAGATAGTTACTGATTCTCTCACTGAGGAATGTAGACATACATGAGAGCTAAGTCATATGCAACCTTAGACATGTTGTTTCCATGTTGTAAACTCTGAAGTTTGCATTTTAAGACGGTCTTCCTGGAAGTACTTTAATTTCTTCTGCACCTTTATTTTTTCATGTGACGTTCCATACTGTAGATAGTGCATACACGTTTCAAAAGGTCCATTAAATTGTCCTTTTTAGATTTGGGACACACACAGGTTTACCAGAACCTTTCTTGAAAACGGCATTCTTTGATTATTAGTAAAACCAAGCTTTAAGTTTATGTTTATTGGTTACGCAGACAAGACTCGGCACAGTGAGTAGAACTCTTGCAGCGAGATGCCGAGGTTCTCTTCTAATTTATAAATATGTATATAAAGCTTTGCTTGTACAATTTTAGGGACTTGATTTATAATCGTGAGAAAAACTCAAAAGCCTTTGTTTCAGGGGACTTTCGTACTTAGATGGTTCAAGAAATTTCTAAAATGTTATAAATGTAGGAAACAAAGCAGGTAGAACAGTTGTAAGGGTTTTTGAAGAAATGCGCTAGTGTAGTGTAGACCTCATTCAAGGTTGCTGTACATAGTATATGGTGTCATAGGATTTAACGTCTTTCAAGGAGTGTATTTAGTCCATGATTAACGAAGTATGTTAGGAAAGCATTGATCAGTTGTGAACGTCAAAACCTGTTTCTGGAGTTCTCGTGCAGAGCTGAACGTACTAGTGACGTTGCTGGAAAGAGCCAATAAGGCAGAATATAAAAAAACGAAAGAAAATTAAACAGGAAAAGAAAGAGAGGAAAAAAGCTAAAAGTGGAAGATTAAGTAAAGAAACAAAAATCAGATTAAAGACGAAACAGATGCAAAGTACAAAATGAGAGAAATAGAAGACGAACACCAAGTGTGGTGTTGGAAAAAGAATGAGATAGATAAGGTGAACTAGAACTGAGCGAGGAGTGTGCATTTGTAATCACTAATGCAAACAAAGAACTATAACTGAGGTGGGAACGTTCTTCCCAAATTGAGAATTTCAGCCAGGATAAAACAGCTAAGTCTAGAAAAAGGTGATGCTTTAGATACTTCAGCTATTGCCGTGCCGCAACGACATTTCTGAAAACAAGACTTATTTGGTTAATGGGGTTCAAGATGCAATCAGTATGAGTATGGGAACATCCGGGCATATGACTTTGTATTGTATTGTATTGTAATCTTTATTTAGACACGACCAATTCATCAGCCTATAAAACTGCATATCACATACGCTAAGATATTTAAAATTAAAACTACATACTATAACACTAAAGCTGTTTTCCGTGAATGCCGTGCGTTAGACTTAAAGAATGTCATTGATCTTACGTTTAAATAACCCCAGAGACTCTGTGTTCCTTATATCGCGTGGTAAACTGGTTGGCTTCACCTCCCTGACAAAACAAGAAAATGTGAAGACTTTTGTCATTAAGGTAAGTCGACGTCTATCGATTTTCGAGGCGAAACAGGTGCACTTTAAAACGAAAATAACTTCAATAGATATTTTTCGGGCGGATTGAATCCTCATAACCGCTGCTGTATGCTTCCTATTCTACGGGGTTCGGAGTCAAACGTGACCAGTTAAGTCCACAGAATTTATTAAGAATTCCCTTAAGTGGCTAGGGTTGAGGAGCCTAATTACCAATTAACTTATTTTTCATCACAGATCTGCTGTGAAGTTTATCAGCATAAACGAAGTCGAACGAATCATGATTGCAATAAAACCTTTTATGTACATCCAGGCGAATCCATGCCCTCCGGTTGTTAGTTAGGGCTAGCCAAAAACGATTTTTTATTTTCTTTCCCTATTTCATTTAGCGTGCATTTGCCCCGTAGCGATTAGGAATTAGGTTTGAAGTACGCGTCTGAGGTATAAGTTAGTGAAACAGCATTGATCAGAAAGCAGAAAGTAGCCGCTAAATGCAAGAGAACAAGAATGAGACCATCCAACAGCAAAGTAGGAAAAACTATGCGCCATCGTTTCCTGTTGAAAACATTTCAATCCTGTTTGCTTGGGGTGAGCTTTATAAAAAACTCATGTTCACCTGTGTATCCCAAGGCAATTTGTGCGCGAGTCTCGTTAAAATTGATTCAATTTCTGCTGACTTAGATGGCGTAGTTTGCTTTTATTTCTGTGGTAACTCGACAGCTGTCATTCAGTAATGTAATAAGGAACAGCTCAGTTTGCATTTGAAGAATAAAAAGCAAACCTGGTAAAAGATTAAATTCTTTTCAAATTATATGAATGCCTACCTTTACGTTTATGTAAACTCTTACTTGTTAACCCGACAGTTGCTATTTCAGTAATATAAACAGGAACAGCTTGGTTTGCTTTTGAAGAGTCATTCGTGCCTTAAAAAGCAAAAATAATTCAATATTAACTTCTTTTCAAGTTATATGAATATGTAGCTTCACGTTTATGTGAACTTTTTGCTGGGTCTGTGTGAAGTTGGCGCACATGGAAAGGTCTTTTCAAAAAAACATCGTGTTTTGTCACAATAATCTTAGTTTGTTTGATTGTTTTTCTTTTTTTGTAGAATTCACTGTGGAGACCAAAATCTATCATCGACACGTTCAGATGTTTGAGTAATACCCTGAAGTGAATTATTCATTCAAAAATGAAATACCTGTCATGAAAACTAAAGAAAACAGGTTACAAGAAATCCCTGACCCCTACTTTCAACTACATTTATTTAGATAGATTTCCTTTGTAGCTCGTAAAAAAAAAGAAAGAGAGAGAGAGACAAATTTGCACTTGAAATTGACGCTATTCATATTCTATTTTTAAAATCATCAAATTTTGGAACTCAACGTAAGGGGTCATGGTAACAAAGGGTTGCTAAATTAGGCCCATTGTTTCTATTAAAGGAGTTGAAAGCGATGCCTTTCATAATCTGTTTTTAATATCATAAATTTTTGAAACTTTACGTAATGGTCATCTAGATAAAGAGCTGCTAAATGCTCAACAGTGGAATACGACGAGAGTTCAGTGTTTTTGTCGACATCACGATCCTCACTTAAGATACTTTATTATATATAGTTGCAATTATGAACGTAAATAAATTTAGTATAAACCACACCGATAAATAGTGCTTTTCGCGCTTGCAGATTGGCTAGTTCGGAAGTGATTAGTATGAAAGTAATAATCTGATCTCTGGGCAGCCGAGGGGACGAATCACACGTCGAGTTTACTTTGCGACCATTTTCCGGTATATCGACAGAAACAAACTAAATTTATGGTTTCTAAGTGTGTAGCATATGCTAAAACAACAGCAAATTACAGTCTCTTGTAAAACATTTACTCAACTCAGTTTTGGTGGAAGTGGTGGCTCTTTACCTTCCTCACCTCCACTTCGCTGAATAGTCGTTGGTCATTAGACAAAGACTGATTGGTTACTATTAACCGCCCCAACAGAAAGAACTTTACTTTTTTATCACAGAAGGTTATCTTCCTAATGAAATTAGGTCCATGTGTTGTTATCCACTGATACTATGCGAGTTAGGTATTTATGTTTGATTCGTAGCCGACTTGTTTGTACTTATATACTTATTCTAAGAGCTGGAGAAGAAACCAGCGGTAAATTTGAGCAGTTTTTGGGTTTCCAAAACTTGAAACATTTCCATTCATCGTTGGAGAGGAAGTTGGAAAAGCTTTCATCAATATTCATATCCTATACTCCTGGGGTAAAGAATGAACTGCGATCCCCTCAATGAAGCTTAATTATTAAACTGTGAAAAATTCATTCCATATCATTCGTAGAGAAGATATCGGCCGGGATAGAAACTCATCAAGTGCATCGCTAAAAGAGGATCTTTCAACAATTAATGGTGGGTAGAGTTTCTCTTTTTGTAGTTTTGTGACACAGAAGGTTCTGAGATCTCTCTTTATTTTCAAAGCGGGTTTCTTAACGCCACAACGAATATGAATGGTTGAGAGTATTAAGAACAAAGAAGGAAGTCTTGAATGCTTTACGTTTCAAGAGGCACTCCTTTAAGATTGTTTTCTGTAGTACATATACGTCAGACAGAAACATGCTATGGTGAACTGTTACGGGAAAATTTAGTGATTTTTTTTCTGTGGATGTTTAAGTATATTTATTCGTTGTTTTCGGAATTTTAGCGTTCGCAATTCATTCGAGTTTCTTTCACTGCGATGTTTTAAAAAAGATAAAAAAGCCACAAGTAAATTTTGAATAGCCAAGTCAAACTGTACAGTTTCATCTCGGTACTTTTCCTGTTAAGTGTTGATGGTCTTTCAGGCAAAATTAGTTCTCTTGGTAGTTGGCAGCTGAGTTTAAACTCGTAATTTTAATTTCCTTTCATACGATAGTTTCTACACCAATCTTGTATAGATAAGCAGGAACTTTTAATTACTTTTCCACTCTTATTTCCTAAGCTGCGTTATTGCAATTGAGATTGGTATATTTTTCATACCAGAGCCGTGAGTTATCACCTAAGTTTCCTATTTTTAATGACCTAGAGTTTATTGCATCCGTCCTTTTAAGGTTACGTCCTACCTTCGCGGGTGTCCTTCGGGAAAAAATTCGCACGCGCGCTAGTTTGAAGAAAACCCTAACAAACTATACATCAAAACAAAGCTTAATAAATGCAGTTTAAGATGAAAATATAATTTAGGCGATTTTTTGATTTATGAAGTGTCAGGAGCCGGTAAGGCGTGAAACGACTGAGGGTCCTTTTATTGAATTTATCGGGTATCGGATCCCACGGCACGAGAAAAATGTCTGCACAGTCTCATTCACAAGGCATCAATCAACAAAAGTGTGTCAGGCTTTTCCTATATTCTGATTGGTTGTCTAGATATTCGCATCTAAAGTTAGAGTAGCGAAAAATATGCGAAGCGTGTTGCGTAAATGGACACCACATAAAAAATATTTCAAATATCAAAATTTCCTGACACATTTTTGTTCATACATACATACATACATACATACATACATACATACATACATACATACATACATACATACATACATACATACATATATGTATATAAGTAAATCTAAAGCTAATACAATATAAATACAAAAGGCCAGTACACGTTAAAAACACTTGTGAACTAATACAAAAATTACACAGGAATAGAAGATAGAAACGATTCATCTTTGCGCAACATTTCCACTAAAGAGCGCATTCAGTAGACGGAACTTAAAGGCGTTTACCTTCTTAGCTGCTTTTAAGTCCTTTGGGAGGTTATTCCACAATTTGCATCCACAGTAAGTGAATGCACGTTGCCCAGATGACAGGCGGCATCGTGGGATGTGGAGCAGGTTACATGATCTTGTTACCCTACTATGAATACGAGATCGTGGGACAAACGTGTTAGCCAGATATTCAGGAACTAAATTATTTACAAATTTAAATACCATTACAGCATCGTTGAAATAAAGTTCGTCATCATTCCAGAAATGTTTTGGCAAAATTTCACGAAAATCGGTCAAATCCACATACTCTATAAATTCGCTCAGAGTGTATGTATTCCTCTCAAAATCAAATGCGAGATTTTAACTTCTAAAGGTTTCTAAACAACTAGCGCCACACCAGGAGATTATCTCGCCTCTTGAAACCGCAAACCAATGAGAAGACGAGGCCTCCTGGCGTCAATGACAATGGATCAATATTTTCCCGGGAAAAGTATCGCGTAGTAGTCACGATTTTTTTTATCTTGCTCTGTTGCTCGTTTAAGGCTGGTTTTCACTTGCGACGGAGTCTTAGTCGGAGTCGTAATCAGAAGCGTGGAGCGATACGATCTAATGAAAATCAAACCGACGGAGTCGGAAGCAGAACACCGATTCTGCCTATGACTCCGTCGCTTACGATCTAGTGAAAACTGCATTGTCGGAGTCGGAAGTGGGAGCGGAAGAATAAACCAATCACAATCCTCGATTCCATCTTTTCAAAGTGCACAAATAGCCGTAACAAATTTAAACGTGTGAGCTTGACGGTAAAATTACGAAATTAAAAGTTAAAATACTCGAACTGAACCTACCGAAAGTATGATTCACGATCTCCAAGTCGTAGTTCGCTGACGAGGTTAGCATACTCTTCCTAGGCTGCTCGGCGTCGATAGATATCACGAACCCAAAATTGCTTTCTTTTTCGAACGATATTTTTCTTGCATTGTCTCTGCCTACGCAAAATAATGATTAATAAGAGCCGAAGTTGCTCTTCGTCCGCCATGTTGTCTTTGGCGCCAAAATTTGTACTTTCGCGGGCCTGGAATCGAGCATTGTGATTGGTTTATTCTTCCGCTTCCACTTCCGACTCCGACTGTGCAGTTTTCACTAGGTCATAAGCGACGGAGTCACAAGCGGAATAGGAAGAAAATAGGAACGTTCTGATTCTTCCGACTCCGATTCCGTCGAGCTTATGACTCCGCTTTCGACTCCGTTTTTCGATTTTCACTTAGTCATAAGCGCTCTTACGACTCCGATTACGACTCCGACTCCGACTCCGTCGCTAATGAAAACCAGCCTTTAGTAATGGACAAAGTCGGCGAAGGAAAACCCGCGGCAGAAAGGGTAAATCTGTTGCATTCTTCTTTTTCTCCATCGGTTTTGTCAGATTCCGACGAAGAATCTTGTTTACAACTTTCTGTGGTGTTGACTTTAATTTTTAAGCTGCTAGCTCCAAGGATAATCGAATGCTGCCGATCTTCAGCAGATGCCGAGCTTGTTGAAGGCTCCTGGGCAAACCAAAAGCCTTTGTCGCTTTCAAAATGGACTGCTTTTTTATTTTTGGCAAAATGCTGCCATTTCTCTCTTCTTTGGGAACTGTTATTTATTTCTTTTTCTTTACCCAAGAACTCCAATCTAATTTTTAGTTATGTTTTTTATCCATGAGAAAAGACTTTCCACGAGCAGATAACTTCCACATGTGAAGTTTGTCAAGTGCGCGATGTAAACAAAATATGCAAACGACATGAAATTGCCGCGAACATTCCCCCGGGGGTTTCGCCCATTGACAAGATTATGACACCTTCCTGACTTATTAACTTTTATTTTAAAATACGTTTTTCTAAATAAGTCGGAAGCTTGTTGAGATTTTTAATTTTTTTTTTTCTGTAAACGTTAGTTAAAATGTCTAACTTCAATCTAGTCCCCCCCCCCCCAAAAAAAACCATTTTTTCGGCCTCTGAAGGTAAGAAGTAACCTTAATTTGAAATTCTATTCGTCGTAGAAAGAGATGGGAATATTTAAATAGTTTTCGTTTAACTTCAAAGAGATCTTTACCGCTTCTTTTGTTATGCTGTTTATATATGGTCGATTTGGATAACAATAGCATTTCACACTTGTTAGTTCGTAGCTTGAGGACGCTAGAGGTCATGTTGCTTGTTGACCTGACCTAGAATAAAGTTTACTCTGGAACCAAACGCTGTCTCTTCCTTGACGTCCATATAAGCTCGCTCGAAGCAGATCTCCGTTTACCAGGAAATCGTGACGAGTTTCCATTCTCGCTGCCGAGTCGCTCTACAAAGCAAGTTCCCCCCATCATTGTCTTGCCGTCCGCGAAGGTTCAGTTTCCCAGTTTGGGTGCGAAAACCTATCGTCACAGAACACTTTTTGATAAATTTGATCGTTGTTCCATTTAGATTTGGTATTCTTCGACATTTAGCTTTAAACTGTCCTTCGGTATCCAACTTCCCGTAATCGATATCTTTTTAATCAAAAATTACTGATGTAGATAAATTGAAACTGATTCGTTGATTTTTCCATTTTTCCATTTCTTCCTTCATACCAATTTTTAAAATGTAATCGAGAAATAGGCAAGAATATCGCGTTCGCATTTCGACTTGGGTAAGGAAGAGAAATCATTTTAATATTTGAGCAACTGTTGTAGAGTATTTTAAAGGATTACTATTTCGAGTATTTTTAGGTTTACCTTTTGTTTTGGTAAGCCTTGCCTGTTGCGTCTACGTATTATTTTGGTAAATCTGTAGTTTTGATCTTTTATTTTTAGCGTGTGTTTGAACTTGGCTAAGTTCGTGGATTTCCTCCTTGTCGTGCTAGACATTTTAATCGTTTGTTATAGTCGAGAATAATTAGTTTCATAGGTGGTACTGTTTGGGTTGGTAAAACTGACCTTGGGTTTTACCCACACTAAGATCCCTTTTGTGCCCGTGATTCTCGTATGCAGCTCGATCATTGGGCTTTAATTGGTTCTTTGGTGCTCTCCAAGTACTTCGGAGCGAGCCACCCAATTTCCCCCTTTGCAAAAGAACGAATATACACTGCGGAACCTCTCATAGTCAGCTACCCAAACAGCTCTACGATTTTCCTACTTAAAGCGTTAGTTCCTCACCCTAGAGCATGATGGTGATTATTATTAGATGCATAGAGCGTTGCTGTAGTAGCTCTACAGAAGAGAATTAAGAATAAACTTACAGAGTCTTACGTATGATGCACGATCCTCGCAGTAGGTAGCGTTATTTGAGCATAGCGAAAATCAGACCTGAAAAAAATCAGGCCTGTACGGGACTCGAACCACTGACCTCTGCGATACTAGTGCAGCGCTCTACCAATTGAGCTAACAAGCCAACTGGGAGCAGGCCGTTAAGTTGATTCGTACAGGCCTGATTTTTTTCAGGTCTGATTTTCGCTATTGCTTAAATAGCGCTATCTACTGCGAGGATCGTGCATCATACGTATCTAATACCGCAGTTCAAAATATATGAACTTCATATATTTCATTGTATCTGATTTATCACTTTCACGGGTTTATTACGAATCAACTTAACGGCCTGCTCCCAGTTGGCTTGTTAGCTCAATTGGTAGAGCGCTGCACTAGTATCGCAGAGGTCAGTGGTTCGAGTCCCGTACAGGCCTGATTTTTTTCAGGTCTGAATTTCGCTATTGCT